CCCCCCCCAAAAAAAAAAATAATAATAAATAATAATAATAAAGATTTTAAATGGAGTAAATCAAATTTAGTGACAAGAATGCTTGAGTGATTTTGTAATACAAGTTGCATGCTGTGTTAATCTCAGCAGTTGAAAATGGGAGTCATATTTGTAACCATCCTGAATGTTCACTTCTTTGAAAAGTTTAATTGATCAGTGCTCAAATTAGATAGAGACTGATCACGATAGCTGCCCGTCGTTTTATGCAAGAAAAATTCTGAAATTATGCAAACGGAGCCCAAAAATGTGAAATTATGCCATTCTGTTAATTTTAACAAAGAATGATACAGGAAAATAATCAGAAATTGTGCAAAAAAATTATCAAGTTTTGCTAAATTTTGCGGGGTGCACAAAACCACGAGGACAGCGATAGAGAAGGAAATGTGAAAGCACCACGTTTGTCAGCCGAACTTTTCGCTGCCAGTGAGTCGTGAGTGCCAGAAGTTGTACACACACGCCGATCACGGCCACAGTTGTCTGAATCATTCATAAAAGAAAATACTGAAATGCTACGAAACATGAGCATTTACCTTAATTTAATTCGGGGCTCAAACAAGAATTAGAATGTTCAACGGTTGTGACTTCGGAAACTGGAGTTGGTACATGATTGATAGCACCCAGGTCATAGGGCTGGACAATAGGTCGCTTTAGAAAAATGCGGATAATATGCTAGTGCACGTCTTTGGTAAATAATGTTATGAACCGATTCAGCAAGTGTGTTAGAACCACTTTGACAAACGAGTTAGCATCACTTCAACAAATGGGTGCACCCAATTCTGGTCAGGAAAGAGCATTAAGAGCCTGAGTTCGAACAATGTACTGGATGATTATCCGATTATCCGGATATTTAGAGCTATCCGGATTTTGCCCACCTCTACCAACTCACGATTTACTCCGCTCTCCTTGGAGATAGCCTGTCCTGCTACAAGAAGAAAATAATTCCAAGTGTGTCCATTCCGACGTTTCTGCCTCTAGTCTGTCACTGCGGGAGCTCTCGTGATCTAAAGGTTTTGGTGTTCGCCTCTCATTCAGTAGGTCCTGGGTTTGTACTCTTACAGCGACGGAAATGTACTTCTCTAAAATGTTCTTCTCTCACCAACTTCCCTGTTCTCCTAATCATCTTCTGTCGTTTACTTACGTCTCCATTTTCTGCCCC